TGGGCGCACGGTGAAAGGACAGTGGAGGTTTCTGCTGGTGTCTTTGGGGAGGGAAAGGGGAGGCTTTGAACCAGCTGAGCGTTTACCCAGCTGGGTGCAAGCCCTGCAGTAGGGCCAGGGGCGTCTGCGGGCGTACCTGGCACCCGGGGAGCGGGCCGGGGGCTTTCAGGGCTGGCTGAAGGGCAGGTGTCTGCGGGGGGCATTACCTCTGCTCGGTACCTGGTCGCCTTCACGGGCTGGCTTGATTCTGTAGAATGGTGGATCTTCTGCTTTGGCTCGTTGATCACACTCAGTAAACCGTTGCTAATTATGTTTAACATGTGACACTCTTACATAGCATTCTAACAGGCAGGTTATAGAAGGGTTTAGTTAGCACGAAAGCAGAGCAGTTTATTCAGTAAACTTTTCCCTCTGTATGTGCAGTATGTCTGCACCTGAGCCGAGCCGGAGCCTGCCTTCGTAGCCAGCAATGCCTTCTGGCAGCATTCACTTTCTCTGGGCTTCGCAACGTTTGAAACTCTCACATCCCAGAGTTATTGTTTCTTCAGAAAATACGTGGAATATTGTAGAGTCACAGAATAACTGAAGCTGGAAAGGAGCCCCGGAGGTCATCTCGTCCAGCCCCTGCTCAGAGCAGGGGGTGCGGGATCTGCCCGAGGGAGGAAGAGAGACGTGCTCTCTCAGTGGTACAGTCCAAGTCCTGGTTGTGGGAAATCGTTCTATGATTATTATTTATTTCGGCCTTGTTTTTAATGTTCACGTGTCCTTTTGCTCCCCCAAAATGAAGACAGTAAACAGAATCTCGTTTGATTTCTCTTCTTCTTGTTTCTGTGTTACAGGCAAATGGACACAGTTTTGTACATATGGAACATGAGAAAGCTGTACTACTACTGAAGAGTTTCCAGAATACAGTAGACCTAGTTATTCAACGTGAGCTTACTGTCTAAATATTTTTTTATAAATAGTAAATACGTCTAGCCAGATCTAATGTTCAAACAGATTTATACATAGGAAACAAATTTTTTGCCAATTGCTGGACCAATGGCAAACAGTAGTGCCAAATGTATAATACTATATGTTAGTACCAATCATCTTGAAAAAAATATATTAACTATATAAATATATTGTTCATGTGGCTATGTATTAGTTTTAATTGTCAGCCTCTGGCTGTGCATTGGTGCGTTTTTTTAATCAAGTTACTTCTTAAAGTCAATTTCATATGATTTCAAAACACAGAAGCACATACAAATTCTTTAGGAATTCTGCTGTCCATCAGAAACACTGCCTCAAAGTTGTATATGCCTTTATAAAGATAAAATATATTAACCTGTACTTCCCATGAAATATTTCTATCATGTCACATACAAAAATATAGAGAAAAAATATTTTCATAAACACCTCAAAGAAAGTATATATTAAATTAAATTTAATAATGTTCATTTATTTTCAATGCAAAGATATTATATGCCTTATGAAAATACCTGTACATATGCAGTGTGTATAGCTGGCTCCATATTAATTAGTAAAAATGTCACTATACAGGGTGAGATACTTAATAAATTATACTGTCAACTCTGGGACCTAGATATAAATAACCTACATGAAAAATTGTTTAACTTCCTTTTGTTTGACACTTTGAGTTGCTTCCATGTGAACACACTAAGCGGACGAACAGGGAGTTCAGACAGGTATGGCTCATACATAGAAGAAGGTTGCGATGAGTGGCAGGAAAACTTCTTTTGTTGCTGCTAATTTTATTCTTTACCTTTTTAATTTGAAATTATAGGCCCTTTACTTACATTCCCCATTCCCCCACTCTTACACTGTTCTGTATTTTGACTCTGGTCCTGGCTGTGCTAGCCCCTGCTCACTGTATTCCCTATCGATGAGGCTTTGACCTTTGTACAATCCTTTATTTGAGTAACAGTCTCTTTAAAATGAATGGGAGCAGACATAGCGTAAGAGAGGGTACATCGCAGGGGGAGCAGCGACCGACACTGAGCGAGCCCGGGGAGAGCTTTCCCACGGACATACGCAGTTTGGAAACCCTTCGGGAAAAGCCCTGGGGCTGTTCCCCAACCAGAATGCTGACAGCACAGGACTTTGCAAAACTGCTGTCGGTTCAGCCGTTCAGGT